GGGGGGGGGGGGAGAGCGACAGGGGGAAACGTGGGGGTCCTACCTTATTCGAGGCCATCTCGCTGTCGGAGTGCCTGGTCTGCAAGGTTTCCAGCTGGTCCAGGCACCAGTCCAGCTCCTCCAGGGTCTCGCTGGCCAGTTTTTGGTAGGACTTCTCTGCGAAGAGATAGGGAAAGGAGTACTCAGTTCGCAAGCGTTTCACGGGGCTAACAGCAAGCTCCAGTGGGTCCATCCTGCCGTACCCAGCCATGGGGGGATGCCCAGTGCCCACACATGAGTGCTGCTCCTTCATATTGTTAAGCCCGAGCACTGGGGAGAAAGGCGGGCTCTGCTCTCCGGCGGGAATCACGAAAAAACAAAAGTCGCTCCAGCCTTCCCTTATCAACTCCAGACAACGGCACTTGGCGGGCGGGCGAGCGCTCTCTGCGGCGCCGCTCAGAGGGGAGCCGCGCGGCTGGTCCTCTCGAGGAGCGGGGCTGGTCCCTCAACTCTTGGAGCGCGCGCGGCTAGCCAGAATCGTGTCACCCTGGCGAGCTGGGACTGCGCTCTCTGCGGACGAGAGACTTTTAGGCGACACGCAGCCAGCCAACCGCTTTCCTCCCTGGGGCTGGAGGCGGCCAAGCAGCCAGCACCTCCTCCCCCTCCTCTCCGTCCTCCTTCGGGAAAGCTTCAAGCCCCAATGAATCAGAGCAGCGGCTGCCGTGTGTGCAGCCACCACGTTTCCTGTTTGCTCAACTTCTCTGTGCGTAGCACAGGCAGCGGCGCAGCTGAACCGCTCGGCGCTGGGGCTGCTGCTCCGAGGGAAGCGCCTCCGTTCCTCCAGCCCGCCCGATTTCCTTCCTTCCCTGCGGAGAAACCTCTTCTTTTCTGCCCTGACAGTCTTAATTAAAACCACCACCACTCGCTCTTCGTCCCTCCACTCCTCGTTATTGTTTCGTGTTTTCTACTGCGAGGGGAGGAGAACAGCGCCGTGGCGCTTCAGCCTTTGAACAGGCGTCGCCGCCAGAGTTTTTGCGGAGAGAGGGCTGCGTGCTCGCAGCTGTAAAGGGGGAGGGGGGAGGGAGAGAGAGAAAACTCGGCGAGGAGTCGGGGACTTGCTCCACTCCGCCGCCTCCCTTTCCTTTCTCCTCCAGGGCGGCGTTAACGCTGGCGCTGCTCTGCAGGATGTGCGGAGAGCTCCGGCTCCGGGCACCACCTGCGCGGAGCTGAACCAAAACCCTGGGAGGCCGTGACGAAGCCCCGGAAGCCCCTCCGCCTTGGGACTGTGCTTCAGCGCCGGGCCTCGGGCTAACGGCGAAGGCCTTCGGCTTCAGCGCGTGGTAGGAAACTTGGCCGCGCTCAGGAGCGCTTTGAAGTTTGTCGAGCCGCTTCTTCATACGGCTTAATGTTTGAGATACAGAACCGTTTCGTTTCCTCTGGGGGCCAGCAGCACTGTCTGCAAGGCGCTCGTGGGAGATGGACCATTCGGAAGAGGACTTCGCTATGGACGCAGATGGGCCACTAAAGGACCCGTTTACAGGACTTTCGGGGTGCGGAAATAGAGCCATAGGGGTGAAATGACGCCAAGCCTGTCTCCCTCCCTGCCTCCCGCTCTCTCTCTACACACACACACACACACACACACGTGTCCTCCACAGAGCAGTAAAGGTGCTGCCGGATGTGGGCTACTTTTTGGGCTGTGACATGCGATGCCTGAATAAGCCCTCTCACCAGCAGCATTACATTCCTTGCTCCCCTCTGGTGCTGCTTCTGCCCCTCACTAGGACGTAATCAGGGGATTTTGGCCTTGCTGTCAAAGTCCAGGGACAAAGCAGTATATCTAGACTATAGGGATGGCCTGTGCACAGCAGCTCTGCAGTCTGAGAGCAGTCAGGATTAAGAGATCAAATGTGAAAGCATTGACCAACTGCCTCCATTACTATTCTCCCCATCCCCTAACACTTTCTGCCCTTACCTGAACCAAGCTCTATATGCTGGCTTTTTAAACCTCCAGTGCCCTGCTTTTCATCTGCTACTACAGGTAGCCCTTGCTTAATGATGGTTTGACAATGGTTCAAAGTTTGATGGACTTGGAAAAAGTCCTTTACCACCTGTACTCGCACTTACGACCCTCACAAACTGTTGCACCCCCCGCGGTCACATGATCATGATTTGTGACTTTTACAATGTTTGTTAAGCAGATCACCACAGTTGTTAAGCAAATCACATCATTGTTAAGAGAATTCTGGCAAAAAAAGTCCACTGGAGAAGCTGGATCCATTTAATGACCATGTGATTCGTTTAACAACAGTCATAAAAATGGTCCTGAAATTGGGTCTGATCATATGGTGACTCACTTAACGACCACCCTGCTTAATTACCAATTTTCTGGTCCCTATTGAAGTTAAGTGAGGACTTCCTGTATTATCATTATCATTACTAATGATGTGTCAAGCACATTAAATAAGCAAAGCTTTTTATCATATTTGGATACACTCCAAAGATAAGAGCTTTTAAGTTCTTGTTGACTTCAATAGAGGAGAGGGTTAAGCACATCATTCAATCTCTCTTCCTACCCCTCCTAAATCAGCATGACTGATTTGTGCATGACTGGCTGGACGGTGCCTATAGTCTCTTCTGGCCTCAGCAGAAGGAGAGCTGTGATGGAGAGTTGTATTATTCTCGCATTATGGAGAAAGAACCAAGGTCACCCAACTGCAAAATAATGGGGACTTAGGTCTTTTATCTCTCTGGTTTGCATTCCTGCCTACCATAGCCAGGACAATCCTCCCCACCCCCACACAAATTTACTTCATGTTTTCTTTAGCTTATCATACATGCTGAGCGTTACACTGAGTATTAGCATAATTTCAGTCTATTGTGTCAGTCTAGCCAAATAATCATCAGGAAAGACCTTTTCAAATATTGCAGCATGTTTACTTAAAACGAAATCCCTGAGGGAAGATGTGTGAATGACGTGTTCCTCACATAGTTTATTTTATGAGATGAGAGGAAAAACCTTTTCAATTTTTTTTTCTAAGAGACCTGTTTGATTCTGTCCTCTTGCCGTAAGTCTGTCACTTGAGAAATGAAGGATTGAAATGCAACAGGCAGGGCTGAATCTAAGCCAGGTATTTATTTATTGAATTTATATCCTGCTATAATCTCATGACACCTGGCATGGAAGGTATGGAAAAAAATGAAATGATTAAACAACATAAAGAGGGAATAAAAATAATAATAATTTAAAAAATCCAAACCCCAGATCTGTTTTGCGGAGCCAGAGCTTAGCTCTGGAAAATATCGAATGATTTTTAAAAAATACCTTGGATTGTGTATACTGTATCTTCCTGTCAGCACTGTTCAACCACAATGATCCTCCAGTCATTTGAGGTTCAGAATAGGATTCCTGTATCAGTGAAAGGTGCAGCTTAATAGACATCTGCTGCCCCAACAATATTAAGAAATACTAATTTGGGAGAAGGAAGATGAACACGCCTAAATGTTGGTGAGGTGAGAAGCCAACCAAAAGAGATTGAAAAAAACCTATGTAACGTGAGAACAGAATGATCATGGACAGTACAAGTAGTCCTCCTTTAGCGACTGTCTTGTTTAGCAACCATTCACATTTACAACCATGATGAAAAAGTAACTTTGCAACCAGTCCTCACATTTATGACCTTTAGAGGTCTATAAAGCAAAGGAAAGCTGAAGAAAGATCATAAGCACAGTCACGATTTCACTTAGGAACTGCTTCACTTTATGACCAAGTTGCTGATCCCAATTGTGATTGCTAAACGAGGACCATCTGAGATTATGGGAGCTATCTAATAATAGTGATGAACTTAACTCCGTTTTAAAACTGAAGTTTGAAATATCTGAAAGAGTTGTGGTGTGTGTCAATTCTCCTTCACCCCAACTGCTACACTGGACTGAATGATATAGAAATAAAGTTATGAAGATGAAAGGAAGATCTTAAAAATTTTGCAAATTTTCTTAGATGATATTTAATGCAATTGCCCCCAAATCAGACTACTTTTAAGGAATGTTCAACACTATCCAGATACCATCACATATTAAACCATCTTCACTGGATTTCTCTTCTATTTCAACTAAGTAATTCAGACATAATGACTAAGAGAATTCCTCAGTCCTTTTAAACAATTACTTGTCCATATTATAAATAGATTGCTAAGTGTTGCATTGTGTATGTATGTGTGATAGTGTTTAGACAAAAATATATTAACAATGAACCAGCATGAGTTGCCAAGCTCAGATTGATCCTTTATTATGTCTTAGAATCTTTTCACTACAGCATTAACAAAATTCTACCATTAGAATAAAAAGTGTGTGTGTGTAATGTAATATTTTGAGCTAGTGCTTTCCTAAATATATGAATTGAAAGAGAACCATAATATTTTCAGATTTACCACGATGTAGTAACTACCAATTTCACTCTTAAAATATGAAAAAAGGCTGAAACTGTAACTTCTTTACTCAGAAAAAAGATTTATTTAGTAATTAAGTACAAATTAATTTAAAAAGCATGAATGAGGTATGTGAATTTATTTATCCTTGGAACAGAGACTGCAACAAAATGAGTGAGACTAAGGTAATGACTGAGGTGGTGCAGTGGACTTCATACTCCATACTACAAGAAGGGAATGAATAGTGCTTTATTGTTTCCTATGTAAAAAGCAAGTCAAAATTTTTTATAGAGCTATATTATTATTGTTTTCCACAAATGTTAGTTTTTTCCTTGCAGGGAAATGTTCGCATGGTAAAGTATTTTAAAACATCTCGAACTGCTATCTAAAGAGACATAACTTACTTTACTACCTGTACATATATGTCAGAACTTTTTTTTTTAAATGGACTTGAACAATTCTGTGGGGAAATGCATTTGAAGAACTGAACTTTTGTTAGCATTTTAAAAGTTACAGTTATCATAACTGAGGACAGATACCCAAAATTATGGATTAAGGCAAGATTTACATTTAGTAATAATCAAAAGTATTTTAGCATGTTATAATTTTATACCAACTGTATGAGAATAGAAGGTGCAGTATAAAATGTTATTGATGTTAAAGCAGTTACAGAATCAGTTTAGTGAAATCAGTTTATAAGGCTCATCGTTGGACTTCATTCTGTCTTTCAACAACATTTTGAATTAAGATGGTATGAAATTTTGAGAGTTCCTCAAAAGTAAATTTCACGTTGACATATATAGTGCGTAGGGTTTACATCCTGTTCTAATTCTTTTGTTTACCTTGATGCCTTGGAAGCTTACCTAACTGGTAAATTTGAATTTCTCTATTTTGACACAAATGAAACAAATAAAAGAACTAGTTAAATAATCTAGAATTCCTTTGAATATTTGTCATATACATTTCATTAAGATTAATTTAACTCTGAGGTTATTTATATCTTGAGAGGTCTTTTTTTCCTTCACATTATTTCAAACAAATTTTATAGGGTATAAAATAACTTTCTTTGGCAGATGCACCTCCTGATATTTCAGTGCATAAGTTAGGAAAGATGGATTTAATTTTCTATCCTTTCAGGGTTATCAGTAGGCACTTATTTTAGCTTTTTCAGTGATAGGAATAAGGACATCAGAATTCAGCTCATCTTTGGGCTCAGCTTTATTATTTGAGCAAATTGAAATTCTGGTAAATACTGGAAATTTTCTTTGTTGTTTCAATACTTGCTTTTAATGCCTTAAGATACATATCCAAAATATGATGTAGTAGATGTAATTTGGCTCTTTTATGTAGAAAATTCCATCTATTACTTTTTGCAATAGATAATTTAAAAACAGCTGGTAAGCTAGTTTTGTAAAGTTGTTTTTATAATGTTAGTAGAAAAATCTGAGCTCTACATATAACAAGGTGCTTCTTGGCAGTTTATTAAATTTAAATACTTATTATCTAGATTATTTGACCCTGATGCTGTTGCTCCCCCTGATGTTCCACAGTTGTGAAAGCTTTAAGAGGAATCAACTGAGGCTACTAAT